CCCCCTTCTTATAATCCCCCCCCTCCTCACCTCACCTTCCCTCCCCTCCCCTGTAGCGTGGCCGAGCTCTCCGGTCCGCGGTGCCCGGCCGGAATGATAGAGAGGTGCACACTCAGTGTGCACTTCCTGTCAGTGTGGCAGGTTACAGGAAACAGAAATTCCTGTTCCGCGCGGAGTTTCTGTTTCCTGTAACCAGCCGGACTGACAGGAAGTGCACACTCAGCGTGCGCCTTCTTATCAGACCGGCCGGGCACCGCGGACTGGAGATCTCGGCCACGCTACAGGGGAGGGAAGGTGAGGGGAGAAAATGTGCTGCAGCCGCCTGAGGCTCTTCACAGAGCGCTCAGGCGGCTGCAGCATTTAAAGGGCTGGCCCTGCAGCGGCCGGTCTTAAAATTATTTGGGGCAGCCTGGGGGGGCAATTGCCTCCCTGGCCCCCCGGCCCAGCCCACCCCTGTACTTGTAGCTGTTTTCTACATCTTCTATTTGACCTTCTGGAACTTCAACTCCTTCTGTCCTAATTTTAAGGCAAGACAAGACGCTTTATATTTGCTTAACCTTCTTTACTGAAAACCTCCAGCAGCAAAGAAATAGTTAACATAACTTTTCAAAACAGCCAATCAGTAAAAAATAACATTAGTGTAAAACCACTTAGGCAGACCCTCCCACTTGCTCTTTCTTTGCTGCTATCTCCAGGTGGGCAATCTCCAACTCAGGGGTGTATCTGCTCTGGGCTTTATTTCTCATGCTTAGTTGTATGATTCTTAATTTTAAGATATATTATTGCTATTTGTATTTTTGTTATACAAGGTTGTGGTGCATGCTCTGGGTCTGCTTGGGCTGACTGTATTGTCAGGTTTTCCCCTGGAACTCCCCCCGACCGGCCGGATAAGTTTTTAATACTGGGATGATGTACCCTTACTGGGCCTCACTAGTGTGCCTGTAGCACTTTCTGAGCTGGATGACCCTCCCACCAGGGCCGGACTGGGGATTCCAAAGCAGCCCTGGAAAAAAAATCTATGCCAGCCCCATAAGTCATTGCGCCATATATTGTTGCATGTAATATGTAAGGCTATGTCTTGCAACCCTAGATGATTGATATATATATATATATATATATATATATATATATATCGGGCATTGAATATTGAATTGGTATATATATATAAAACCAAACAGATTTTGCACTCCACCAATTCAATATTCAATGCCCGGTGCTTGTCAGCCAAAAATGCAAATGTCAGCCAAAAATGCAAAAAATACTCCAAGGACTAATATAAAATATAACTTTTATTACCTCCACTAAAACAACACAAGGTCAACGTTTCAGCTTGATCCCCTCAAGCTTTCGTCAAAGATGGGGTACATTGATGTTGTGGCAGGCTTATGCAATGTATGATCATATAATGTAACTAAACCCCCATTATTTTTGCCTAGATTAGGTGTTTTTAAAAAAAAACAAAATCTTTCAACATTGAAGTTGCTGTTTAGTGGATAGGTGAGTGCGCTGGATCTTGTGTATTGTATTATTTGGCCCCCAGCAGCACCCCCCATTTATGCATGTTAAGGTGAGTGCAGCCAACCCCCTCTTGTTTTATATATATTTGGGAGTCTAGCCAACTCCTTGGTTTTGCACCCCTCCCTGTCACAGGTGCCTCATCCTAGGGCCCTATTTAGCCTTGTACTGCAGAGAGCCCCAGATGGAATTTTTTTCCTCAAGTAAGTGGTTAATCTCATAAGAGCAGACATTAGGCTGCTAGTGTAGGACCTGCCAAAGATGGGGTACATTGACGTTGTGGCAGGCTTATGCAATGTATGATCATATAATGTAACTAAACCCCCATTATTTTTGCCTAGATTAGGTGTTTTTAAAAAAACAAATAAAATCTTTCAACATTGAAGTTGCTGTTTAGTGGATAGGTGAGTGCGCTTGATCTTGTGTATTGTATTATTTGGCCCCCAGCAGCACCCCCATTTATGCATGTTAAGGTGAGTGCAGCCAACCCCTCTTGTTTTATATATATTTGGGAGTCTAGCCAACTCCTTGGTTTTGCACCCCTCCCTGTCACAGGTGCCTCATCCCAGGGCCCTATTTAGCCTTGTACTGCAGAGAGTCCCAGATGGAATTTCTTTCCCCAAGTAGGTTAATCTCATAAGAGCAGACATTAGGCAGTTAGTGTAGGACCTGCCAAAGATGGGGTACATTGATGTTGTGGCAGGCTTATGCAATGTATGATCATATAATGTAACTAAACCCCCATTATTTTTGCCTAGATTAGGTGTTTTTAAAAAAACAAAATCTTTCAACATTGAAGTTGCTGTTTAGTGGATAGGTGAGTGCGCTGGATCTTGTGTATTGTATTATTTGGCCCCCAGCAGCACCCCCATTTATGCATGTTAAGGTGAGTGCAGCCAACCCCCTCTTGTTTTATATATATTTGGGAGTCTAGCCAACTCCTTGGTTTTGCACCCCTCCCTGTCACAGGTGCCTCATCCCAGGGCCCTATTTAGCCTTGTACTGCAGAGAGCCCTAGATGGAATTTTTTTCCCCAAGTAGGTTAATCTCATAAGAGCAGACATTAGGCTGTTAGTGTAGGACCTGCCAAAGATGGGGTACATTGATGTTGTGGCAGGCTTATGCAATGTATGATCATATAATGTAACTAAACCCCCATTATTTTTGCCTAGATTAGGTGTTTTTAAAAAAACAAATAAAATCTTTCAACATTGAAGTTGCTGCTTAGTGGATAGGTGAGTGCGCTGGATCTTGTGTATTGTATTATTTGGCCCCCAGCAGCACCCCCATTTATGCATGTTAAGGTGAGTGCAGCCAACCCCCTCTTGTTTTATATATATATATATATATATATATATATCGCTTTTTCCAATATAAAAAATTGGTCCTTTCAGAGTAAAATTTTTAATTATACAGTAAGCATACTCACATGCAAACACAGACAATCTCACTGACACAAGCTGATTGATACACAGCCTCATACATACAGGTTATTGACATAAAAACACAAGCTCACTCAGTAGCAGGCACACACACACACACACACACACACACACACAAGCAAGCGAGCGCACACACACACAGCTTAATGTAGTGGTACTGGTGCCTATAGCCTGTCCCTGCAGGCTTTTCAATGTAAACACTGACTTTTAAGAGAAAAGGCAGTGTTTACATTGCTTCCTAGTGACAGACACTCAGACGGTCACTAGAGGTGCTTCCTGTGTCAGTGCGGATTGGCTGAGATCATCAAGCTTGATGATCTCAGCCATAGAGGCAGGGCCAGGCGAGGGGAGACCAGCATGACGTAAAAAATAAATAAATAAAAAAGTAAGTAAAAACAAACATACACACACACATACCATGACAGACACACACCATGACACAGACAGACCGTGACACAGACAGAAACACACACACACCATGACAGACACACCATGACACAGACAGACACACACACCATGACAGACACACACCTTAAAAAAGACACACACACCTTGACACACACACACCATAACACAGACAGACCGTGACACACAGACACACACACCACGACACAGAGAGACCGTGACACAGACACACACACACCATGACACAGACAGACACACATTACATGACACAGACAGACACACACACACCATGACACACACAGACCGTGACACAGACAGACACACATTACATGACAGACACACACACACACACCATGACACAGACAGACCGTGACACACAGACACACACACCACGACACAGAGAGACCGTGACACAGACACACACACACACCGTGACAGACACACATTACATGACACAGACAAACACACACACACACACCATGACATAGACACACATTGCATGACACAGACAGACGCACATACCATGACAGACAGTGACACACACAATGACACAGACACACATTGCTGACACAGACAGACACTCACACACCATGACAGACAGACACACACAAAAATGACACAGACACACACACACACATACACAATTTCTACCTGTGGGGAGCTCTTCTGGCGGCCGCAGAGGGAGTTCCTTTGGCAGCAGCAGGGTTTGCTGGCTGTTCTTGCGACCACAGGGGGAGCTGGCTGTTGTGTCTCTGCTCCCCCTCCCCTGTGCGCCGACACTCCGGCCCTGAGTGTCCGGCCCGCAGGGGAGGGGGAGCAGAGACACAACAGTCATCTCCCCCTGCGGCCGCAAGTGCCGACGGCCCACCGGGAAATTTCCCGGTAACCCGGTGGGCCAGTCCGGCCCTGCCTCCCACCAATGGTGCATTTGGAACTGAGGCCTAGAGGAATTATCCAAGGGTGATCGCCTCCTTGCATGGCCTAATTTGCATGATATGCTTGAGCTTGTGTGGGTGGCCCCCTCTTGCATGCTGGGTGACCCCCAGCCGGCCTTGCCCGGGTACCACACTGAATGACTGTACCTTACTATTGTTACAGTGTCATCAAGTCATGGCAGACAAATCTGGTTTCCATGCACCCGAGGGTCTTCAAGCCTGGCTGTGGCAAAACCGACCTCGCCACTGGGCATTGGAGAAGACTGATTGCCAGACTCCTGCCATGTGACTATGGCACCTGGGATGTATTGCCCTTTAAAGACATGATTTGGGCATAATGAATTTGTGTTGTGCTGCTGCTGGCCCTTTAAGAACCATGTGGGGACATACTGTGGAGTTACTGGGTGGCCACCATTTCATGTATCAGAGGCACATGGTGAGAACAATGGATGGCGGCCATTTTAACTCACAGACACTGTTTGGACTTTTCAACACCGTGCCATCTCGCCGGTATTTTGTGCACAGAGACATCGTGCAGTGGTTTTGGACTATACAACAGGGGACACATTATACAGTAATTGTTTTTCATATAGCCTGCATATGTTCTGTGGAATCTGCATTAAACTGTATCTTCCAAAGTACTGAACTGATCTGGGTGAATTTTGGATATGTGTTTCACCCAGATCCCCCGGTTCCAAGAATATACTTTTTATGGGGTTATTGCATGTTTTGGGGTCCCTGTGATGTGTTTTATGATACTGTATTTCTCTGCCTGTGATAATTATATTAACCATGGTGTTCAGTAATCATATCACAGGCACAGGGGAGGATTTTGTGTGGGAGTGTCTGTGTGTATTGTATGGATTGATTGGTTGTATTTCAAAACCCTGTGGGCAGTACTATGTTTGTGGATTGTGAATAAAAGAGGCTGTATGTGCCAGTACAGTCAGTTCTGCTTGACCTCAAAACGAAGTGTCGTCTCGTTATTGGGGGAATTGGATTGTATGCTGATTGCCAGGAGTGTAAGCTGATTGCATGCTTTTCCTGTTCAGCTGCTTACAGCATTCATATGCTTGAGAGCATTCGTATGCTTCTCTGGTTCGGTGGTTGTGGTGTCTGCTGCAGTGCTTGGAGTCCTCAGGAAGCGCTAGGAACATCCTTCAATGGAGGTACCCAGTCGGGGTGCCAGGTGATCCGTTACACTGGCTATGTGCCGCACTGCCAAGAGCCCTTGCTGCCCTCCACAGGGGCACTCCTACTGCTCCTGTAGGACCCACACCTGGTATTTCGAGGGCTCGTGACTCAGACTCAGGTGGTACCCTCCACAGTGCAGAGGTGTGCTCTGCACTCAAAAGACCTTGGAGGGCTCATGGCACTGTCGCTGGCAAGGGGAAGATGCCAGCAAAACTGTCCAGAGTCGGGAAGAAGACGCATGCTCTGAGTCACCTGGCTATGATGGCTATGATGTACTGGACGAATACCGAGCAGACAGCTCTGGTCACTGGTCTCCTGGTGAGGGTTTCTCTGATGGACCCTCACGCTACGTGAAAGAAACCATTCTGGGATCCCCCCTGACTGGGCCACTGAAGGTCCCAGCGGCTGCGACTGATGCTCCAGGAGAGATTTTGGACCCCTCCGGCCACCCGCTCTTCGACCCATGGCCCTTTAAGCATCCTTGATCAGCAGAATGGGCTCCTCCTGACCACATTGCGACATTTCTCCGTTACTGGCTCCGCCGCCCCTTGGACAAGGAGATCCGGGCAAAACTCTGGGCTGAATGCCCCCTCCGACACTGCCAGACAAGGTGGCCTTGACCCCTGACTTTGACCAGATATTTGCCACCTTCATGACAAGGTCTGCAAAGGACCCTCGCAAAGGCCTGGAACATGGCCTACGCTCCACCCAGCATAAGCTGCTGGACCTTAGTGGTCAGCTGACGCAAATTTTTGTTTGGGGCTAAAGGCCGGTCATGGCCAATCAGATTCACAGAAGGGGTATTTAAACCCAATTCTCCTTTTGCTCATTGCCCTGTCGTGGTTTCATCCTGATGGTAATCCGAGAGTGCGTTCCTGATCTTGATTTTCTGGTATTTGACCATGGCTTCATTTTGACTTCCCTGAATTCTGGTATCCTTGACGTTTGGCTTTCCTGCATCATTGTGTCTGCTTCTGTGTTCCTGACCACGGCAAGTATTTTGACTATTCTTGGATACGTTAAGTCCGGCCATTCTAAGGTCCGGTTATAAGTTATCCTTAGTCATAGGTGTGACACAGTTCTGCATGCTGGATCAACTTGTAATCCTGACAGTATTGCCCTCTTTAGCATCAATGACAGCGTGCAGTCTTTTGTAATAGTTGTCTAATTCATGCAGGTTGTATAGCTCCCCATTCATCTTGGCAAAATGCATCCAGGTAATGCAAAATCTTTGGTCGTCTTCCAGAAACCACACATTTGAGATCTCCCCAGAGTGGCTCGATGATATTAAGGTCAGGAGACTGTGATGGCCACTCCAGAACCTACACCTTTTTCTGCTGTAACCACTGGAGGGTCAATGTGGCCTTGTGCTTAGGGTCATTGTCATCCTGGAAAGTCCAACAGTGCTCCATGCGCAGCCTTCCTGCAAAAGAATGAAAATTGTCTGCCAGTATTTTCTGATAACATGCTGCATTCATCTTGCCATCACTTTTCACAAGATTCCCCGTGCCTTTAGAGCTCAAATACCTACAAAACATCTGTAAACCACCACCATGCTTCACAGTGGGGATGGTATTCTTTTCACTATAGGCCTTGTTGACCCCTCTCCAAAAATAGTGCTTATGATTGTGACCATAAAGCTCTATTTTGGTCTTGTTACTCCAAATTACAGTGTGCCAAAAGCTGTGAGGCGTGTCAAGGTGTTGTCGGGCATATTGTAACTGGGCTTTATTGTGGCATTGACACAGTAAAAACTTCTTTCTGGTAACTCGACCATGCAGCTCATTTTTGTTCAAGTATCATCGTATTCTGCTCCTTGAAACAACCAGACCATCTTTATCCAGAGCAGCCTGTATTTCTTCTGAGATTACCTGTGGGTTATTGTTTGTATACTGAACAATTCTTCTGGCAGTTGTGGCGGAAAGCTTTCTTGGTCTTCCTGATATTGGCTTGGTATCAAGGGATCTCTGAATTTTCCACTTCTTAATAAGTGATTGAACAGTACTGACTGGCATTTTCAAGGCTTTGGATATCTTGTTATATCCTTTTTGTTCTTTATAAAGTTCCATTACCTTGTTACGCAGGTCTTTTGACAGTTTTTTTCTGCTCCCCATGGCACAGTATCTATCCTGCTCCATGCATCCAAGTGAGAGCTAACAAGCTCACTGACTATTGATACACAAACACTAATTGCAATTTAAGAAGCCACAGGTGTGGGATATTAACCTTTACTTGCCATTTTAACTTGTGTGTGCCACCTTGTGTGTCTGTAACAAAACATTTCATGGTATATAAACTTTTGATCAGGGCAATTTGGGTGATTTCTGTTATTATGATTTTAAAAGGTGTCAAACAACTATGTGATAATAAATGGCTTCATATGATC